GGTGGAAATAAAATCAGTTTTGTTCTGTGTGTATTGTTTTGTAAAACTTTGTAAACGTTTAACATATGTTTACATACGGAAGCCGCCTAGTTTAAACTGATTATTATGCCTTCAAAATATTCGCATTACAAACTTAATATGGAATAATAATTAGATGTAAAGAAAGCTCCATCTGCAAATTTATTAATATCAGTAAAAAGTTTGAGCATTGTGGATTAGATCAAATAAAGCCTAATTATATTTCAATAGTTTACACACAATGATAAGTTTTGCTTTTGGTAACAATTCCAACAGTGGTGTGAACACGGGCAGCAGTAATTTTGCTCGAAATATTACCAATAACCAAACTTATCATTGTGTGTAAACTATTGAAATATAATTATACTTTATTTGCAAATTTATTCTATGGGAACTGAACATTTGAACAAAAATAGATAAATGGATGAACAACACTTGAGTCTTGTATTGTCAATTCTTTTTGATAAAATTACACAATGATACAGTATTATTTACTGATAATGTATTCCCCTACATCATCATGTGACTTTCCAACTTTGTTTTTGTATAATCCCATTATTTCTTGTCTCTTGATTTTATTATTCGTAGTAGTATTTCCTCTATCTCTGGTACTGGTGTTGTGTTATTCTCCCACCCACCCACCCCCCATTGTATGCTTTAAGTCTAGGTAGGTGGATGGATTCGATGAATATGGACTCAGTAATCAACCTCTGCCTTCTTCCTCGCCTCCTCCTTAACCGTATACTCAATGAAACTGACAAAGTCGAATATATATGAAAGACCACCAAAGTCTACAAAATGCTAGTTGAAACATTCAAAATCAAAACTAGGAGAAGCCTCTCTCTGAAAAAAAGTGAATCGACAAACACAGACATTAAGAAGTTCCCAAAGTATAAAAATTTAAATTAGTGTAGTATGATTCAGCTGGGAAGATGAACAACATAGAGGAGATAGCTCAACAATCGCAATCCACATACCTATGAATAACTATATAATAGGAAGGGACGGAATCATGGTTCTAAAAAGTCATATAGATAGACAGGTGAAAGCTATGGTTGCTCACTGCACCTATGTTCATCGAACCCACCTACACTTGATACACCCAATAGGAATGATGCTATACAGATACCACAGATATGAGAAATCAACGAATAATATATACTGAACAAAGAATACTCTTTTCGATAACCTGCTCCTGTGGAGCCAGTTACATAGGCTACCCAAATTAGGCGTGTTTCTCGTCGAATTGCCGAACCTCACCCTGCATGGTTAAGCGAAGGCCAAACAAAATCTATTCGTAGAGCTATTCTAGCTCATCTTGTGGATACAGAACATAAGACTGATGTTAACCAAGCTTTTAGAGTTATTTACCGGATACCAACAGATCTCAACTCCGCCTTAAGAGTTAGATTACTAAACATTGCTGAGGCTTAATATCAGTAAAAAGTTTGAGCATTGTGGATTAGATCAAATAAAGTATAATTATATTTTAATAGTTTACACACAATGATAAGTTTTGTTATTGGTAATATTTCGAGCAAAATTACTGCTGCCCGTGTTCACACCACTGTTGGAATTGTTTTATTCACACATTTATGATTTGTACTCATATATATAGTTCATTATTATTATTTTTTTGTTCATTTATGTTTTGTGTGTGCATATGTGTGTTCAGAGTTATACTCCACATTCATTCATGTGTTTGTATTTAGAATTATATTCCAAGTTGTTGATAGTTGTACTGCACATGCATGGGACAAAAACCACAATATCGATTGGGACAATGTGTGTATTCTAAAAACAAACATGAACAAATGGAAATAAAGACTCATAACAGAATCGATATTCATTAAAGTCACACCGGATACATGTAACAATGGTGACTCAGTACAACTATCAACAACTTGGAATATAATTCTAAATACAAACACATGAATGAATGTGGAGTATAATTCTGTACACACATATGCACACACAAAACATGAATGAACAAAAAATAATAATAATGAACTATATATATGAGTACAAATCATAAATGTGTGAATAAAACAATTCCAACAGTGGTGTGAACACGGGCAGTAATTTTGCTCGAAATATTACCAATAACAAAACTTATCATTGTGTATAAACTATTAAAATATAATTATACTTTATTGCTGAGGCTGTTGGGATCCACATTAAAAAGCCTAATTTGTGCGTTCAAAAGAAGTTAGTTCAGACACTGTCCTTACCTTGGCCATCTAGGTTTGAATGATCCTCAATTTTTGTGGAAATTTCCTAATTTTAGTTGATATTCTATTCGCTATTATATCTTTATTACTATTATAATTTAAGTATTTTTAGTGAACTGTAATTGCATTGATCTTGCTTTACAAATCGATATTATTTAAAAAACATCAATATTGTTATTAACTACCAATCTTCAATATTTTGTGTATATAAACATGTATATAACTGTAGAGCCAGAAGAGGAATTTATCGAAAAGAATATTTTTTGCTCGATTATTTTGTGTTTTATAAACCTGCTCTTCATCAGGCTCTACAGTTATGTATATACATCATAGTGAATGAATGAATGAATTAGTGTTATGAACACTATTAATGTTGTTTATATAACATCGAATCAAAAATATTGATAGATTACAGCTCAATAGCATCAACATAGCAACACATACCGAATGCCAGGAAAATTAGGAAAGATAATATTACAAATTCATGAATTTATAGTCTCTACTGAAGGCCGGCCAGGGTACTAGTAGGGGCTGAACTTGCTTCTTTTGAACACAGAGCACTGGTTGTTTGAGGCGAATTGTGATAGTCTCTGCTGTTTGGAGCATGCAGTACTCCGATGGTTTAGGGCACTTCATTAGGCACCCGGTAGATGATAGAGAAGAATTCTTTCCCGCTGGTTGGCTTAGTGGGTGGTTTGCACCAGCTGGTCCAATATCGAACTGTTAATGGTTTTCACTACACCTTTGCTTAGCCATACTGGGAGACGTTCTCGAATAAGCACAGAAAATCAATTTCCTAAAGCAACGGCCGATATAGCTCGCTCCACCACACGAGAGCAGTTGAATTGGTAGATACAATTTGAAGTGCCGAGCTAGTCTAGGTACTTCATCTTTCAGTCGAGGTAGCATCATTGATTGTATAGAGAATAAGACGTGTAGTTCGCCAGCAATAAAAGTTCTTTAAAGTGATTTTCTTAATTTCCTCATAATCATCTCACTTGGTATATCGCCCTTGACTTGTAGTCGTATATAAAGTGGTTTCTTGTTTACAGATAGTGAGTAGTCCTTTATCCCTTTTTTTGTCGTGTGTTTTTTGATAAATTTTTCAGGATAGCCATTTTCGATCAAAGTATCATATACAATGCTTAATTCATCTTCAATTACTTCTTCTGAGCATATAGCTCTAACTAACCTGTGGCTGAGGGTCTTCACTAAATTTCTTTTATACTTGATAGGAAGGAAGCTGCGAAAATTCAGTCATTCATTCACTATAATGTATGTATAACTGTAGAGGCTGATGAAGAGCAGGTTATCGATTAGAGTATTCTTTTTTCAGTATCCATTCTTTTGAGAATAATAATTTGTGGAATTATATAAACAGAGTTTAAAAATTATATGAGTGAATGACTTGATATGGTTATTCGATATTAGCTTTGGTTTTCAGGGCGCCGGTCATTATATTACTCTATTGTTGCGATTTTATAAAGTAGAATTTATTCCATTTCGAACCTGCTTGTTCCTCTTTTAATTTTCTTGTCACCATTTATGCTTATACTGAAAAAAGGCTAACTAACACAAAATATGAAGAATTTAAAACAGCATGACTCACATTTTTGAATAAACATACATTTCAAAGAGTACAAGTCCGCCCGATTAAGTTAGGGATGTTTTATGTTAACGAACAAATGATTCTCGCAGAGAATTAACTAGTTAGTACCACTGTTACAGACGGTGATGCAAATCGCTGATTGAAATTCTAAGTATTTTGAATGTTTAAATCATCTAGTGATCGCTAGCATCTCCTCCACTGATGAAGTGTTGTTTGGCATTTCAAGATAGAGCGATAAAATTTCAGTAGCAATACATACTGAATATTAAAATTGTTAAGCAAGATGACAATATAATACAAATTCATGAATTTATACTCTCCACTGAAGGCCAATGAGGGCAGTCGTAGTGACCAGTTGGACTTGCTTCTTCTGCACACAAATCACTGCTTGTTTCACTTGAATCGTGATAGCCTCTGCTGTTTCGAGTATGTGGTACCTGGATGTGTTTGGCGGTTTACATGGTACCCCGTAGATGGAGGAGAAGGATTCTTTTAATGCTAAGTGGCTTCGTTGCCGGCCGGTTTTAACTAGATGATGGTATAATATCGAACAGCTGATGGTGTTTACTTCACCCATACTTGGTCATACTGGTAGATGTTGTCGAGCAAGCTTTGAAAAATCAAGTTCATTGAGCAACGGCCAGAAGAGAGACTTTTCCATCAGAGTATTCTTCGCTCAATTTCTTTTCTAAATATCTGAATGAATTAGATAGTTGGAGGCAATCGGCGACAGGAAGCCTTGCCTGACCTAGATGTCGTGCTATTTGCCACTCACCAGTCAGCAAGGTGTATCCGCAACCTTGACGGAACTCATGTCCCTTCTGAGATTCAAACCCGCGTCACCAGCCAGTGCTGCAGTCAGAGACGTTACCACTGAGCTATTAGGACTGATGGAATTTAGTTTGCACCAAAGAAAGGACTAGACACGTCACACTAGTTACTAGTGTCCAATCAAAGTATCTGAATGAATATTTTCGTTATTAATACAAAATGATAAATATTTAAAAGAGAAAATCGATAGTTTGATAAGGTCATGTGAACTATATATATACATATATAATTTGTTCATTACCACACCTATTAAAACTACGTTTTGATGCCAGACGTGGAAGAACATTGATTTCAAGAAGAATTAAAATAGCATGAAGATATTGATACAAGTACTGTTTTGTTTGTCAATTTTGTTTTCAATTTTCCCCAACTCTAATTCAAAGTCTCAATTACCGTATCCAATAAAACACAATCTGTTTCAATCGACCTTCAAAATAAACGAAACTATCACTTATTATAACCATCGCTTAATTATTGGTCATATTGTAACCATCCCATGTGAGTATGAGGGTGTAAAGAAATACCCAAATTCCACTGATAGTAATGAGTTAGTTATTTACCAATGGTTATTCAACGGTAGACAGTTGTTACCGCATAGGGCATTTTTTAATGCAGACTGGGATATTCACGGATATTTAACAATATGGGCTATGATGGCTAAACCAGCTAATATCTGGTGTCATAAACGTGTTATTAATCATTACAATATTGCTTATGATTATTATTATTCACATCAAATCAATTTTATTAATTTAGCCGTATTACAACAAATAGTCGGTGTGAAAATAGACGTTCTAATGAATGAAGAAGCCATGTCAAGGAAGTGTAAGCAAGACAATTACACATGCGACTGTCAAATGATGACTGGCATTAATGCAACTGTTTATGGAGAAGATATAGACCGGCCTAAACACTATATATTACAAAGTTTTGAAGAATTTTTGGGGCATCTCTGCGAAAATGTAACATTTTGTACTAATTATTATGTAGAAGATTTTCTCTGTATGAATACGTTGAACGATTCAACGTCAACACATTATATTGAATTTGCTTTCATTCTGGATAACACTAGGAAATACTTACGGTCAACTGAGGGTGTTAAACTTCTCGACGAGGTTAGTTAGTCTGCTTGTTGACATGTGCCTCTTCAAAACACAAAACTATGAAAATTTATGTTGGATTTAATACAGGGATTTTTCATTTTGTGTCTAAAGATGGCGAACTTAGGGTCAAACTGTGAGCAGAAGATTCCTGTCAAAACGTTTTGTGTATTTAGTTGCGGAAAATGGTAGACATAACTCCTTCAGCAGTAGTAGAATACTCATCAACCACGTATGTGGTTCGTGGATCGAATCCCGTCCGATATACTCTTCAAACTTTATTAAACGCAAGTAAGCATGTCAGAGATGGTAGGTTGGGCGTGCGACTAGCAATCCCTACCATTACAAAAATACACGAAATGCTACAGGAACTTCAAAGCTCAAGTTTGAAGCCCTACAATCCATTGGGAACGCAAATGCAATACAAAGAGTGAATAGATTGTTCCGTCAGTAGAATTGTGACAAACAATGATACTTCTAAGTACCTATAGGTCAGTGATACACTGTTTACATTCATGTGAAATGATGTCAAGGTGGATACAGTTTAATTTAAGTTTCAGAACACCTGAGCTGAGAAATGGTACGGGTTAATTTACAAATGAGCTTTTCCTATTTCATTGATATAAGCACGAAACTTGTGCACTGCGGCAGAGTATAATTCCATTATGGGTAAAATTTATTTTGATAAAAGTTCACAGTGTTATACAGTACTGTTTACTGATTACATTTCGAACACAATCTATTGCTGCTCATAATCATATTAAGGCACTACTCACAAAACTTTTTAACTTCCTTTATATAATTCCGTTGTTTTCCATCGCTTGATTTGACTGTTAGTAGAATTTTCCATATTTCCGGTATGAGTGATGAGTCATTCCTATTGCATGTGTTGGGTGTAGACTCAATGAACCAGGCAGGATTCAGTAATCAACCTATCTCTCCACCTACCTAGATTACTTTTTAGAATTTTAACCCTGTCCCATCCTATGGTGTGGTTGTGTGTTAACGCATGCATTGCAATTGCTAAGCTTTTTTCTGAATTACTTATCTTCGCAAGTGGGGTCAACCATTCTTACCTTAGCTTTATGCAGAATAAAGTAGGAATTAGAGTGGCATTCAAATCTACAAACTCACTCAGAGACAAGCTCTGTAAGATAAAAGACCCGGTGGACCCAATTAAACAAAATGAATGCAAGTGAGGTAAACTACATGGGTCAAACTTGTAGATAGGGAGTAGTCAGCTTGTCAGAATTTAACTAAGATTAGAATGGTTGACCCCACTTGCGAGGATGGGTAATTCAGAAAAAAGCTTAGCAATTGCAATGCATGCGTTAACACACAACCACACCATAGGATGGGACAGGGTTAAAATTCTAAAAAGTAATCTAGGTAGGTGGAGAGAGAGGTTGATTACTGAATTCTGCCTGGTTCATCGAGTCTACACCCAACATATGCAATAGGAATGACTCATCACTCATGCCTGAAATATGAAAAACACTACTGCCAATCAAATCAAGTGAAAATCAAGTGAAAAATAATCGAACTATGTAAATGAAATTAGGAAGTTGTGTGAGTACCTTGATATGATGATGAGCAATAAATTGTGCTCGAAACGTCATCAGTAAACATTACTGTACAACACTGTGAAACTTTATCAAAACAAATTTACCCATAATCGAACTATTCATATTTCATTGGTTTCCCCTATTGAGTTCTTTGGCTGCGAATCTAGGAACACAACGCTCACAATCTGCTTACAAAGCTTCGAAAAAGGTGAGAATAATGCTATTCTGAGCATTTAAAAATGGCTTATTTCATTTCCTTTCTTCTATTCAGTTACTAACATAACATGATTGAAAGCTGGAGAGTTAAAATAAGCGAGGGGAGGACTCAGAATACATTGCGGTGAGTAGACGTGTTAAAGGAAAGTAAACCAGTATGTCAGTGGATATTTGGAATGTCAATGGAATGTCTTAACAAAGAAGGTCAAAGAGCCAAAAAGCAACCAAACAAGGGTTATGATGCAACAAAATAGTAACCGAAACAGTTACTAGAGAATTGAATGGTTTTACACACTATCTTGCTGCATGATAGCAGTGACTTGGATGGAAAGGAACAACCAAGGTTCACTCCCCACATCTTGAATGCTTGGCTAACCTTGACTGTATGTCTCGTGTAGCTCGGTCAGATGCCTTGTAATTGAAGTTGCAAATGCTTTGTTATTCAAATGTTGGTTTGTAGGGATTTGATTGGTTACAGGATTTCATCATGGGCTGACATTAGTTAGAGAACTACTGGAAAACCTGGGAGTACTGGACAGCTGTTTCGTCCTTGTTTTTGGTACTCTACATCAGTACCCACCCATCGGGGTTCAAACCCAGGACCTTCTGGTTACAAGGCGAGCTCGTAGACCATTAAACCTTTGTTACCTTCCAGACATTTTGCTTTAGGCTTACCTTGTTTTATTTCCCCCAAATGTGTGATACCGTCAATAACCTTAGATTATTTATTCCCCCTCCTATTTAATGCTTCCTGTATTCAACTCATTCATTGTTTAATCCTTTCATTGTTAGTCTCATCTTTTATGCAGCAAACTGCTAAAACTTCTGTAAAGTATCATATTTGACTCATTCTCAATGTTCTTACAACCAAAACAGAAAAACAGTGTTATCTTACAATATATTCAGCCTACTTACAAGTAGTTCAAAGCCGGTCAATCACAAAATCACTGGATGCATTTAATGTTTTTTGAATCAAATCCAGTGGCAGATGACATAGTCCTGCTAAAAGAGGATGCTGACAAAATCCAGCAGAGTCTTCTGAACACCTTAAGCAGCAATCTTCGTATGTTTGGCATGCGATTAACCACTGTAAAATGTAAGATGCTGTTGCAGGACTGGACTATGTCAACTTGTAGCTTAGTGATAGGGAGAGAAGTGATAGAACATCTTGTCCCCGTTCACCTATTTGGGAAGTTGTATCAGCACCAACGGACTGATTGGCGACGAAATCTCAGCACGGATCCGCAAAGCTCGAGCTGCTTTCGCTGACTTACACCATCTCCGGCGTAGGTGTGACATCCGGCTATCAACCGAGGGACGTGTGTACTGCTCACCAGTTCGCTCCGTCCTTGTCTATGGCTCTGAAACATGGCCAATACGAGTTGAAGACATGAAAAGGTTGACTGTTTTTGATCATAGATGTCTACGATCTCTTTCTCACGTTAGGTGGTTTAATAAGGTAAGCAATGTTGACGTTAGGCGTAGAGTGTTGGGCAAAGAGGGAAAATCAATCGACGAGGCTATCAAGTTACATAGACTAAGATGGCTAGGTCACGTGCTGCGCATGACTAACCATCGCCTCCCGCGACGGGCATTACTAGCTGATATAGGTGCAGGTTGGAAAAGGGTAAGTGGTGGCCAAACAAAAACATGTCATCAATCCATGAAATCCTTGACAGTTAAACTGAGTCAGGTAGGGAGATGGAGACTTCCGGGTTGGGGCCCTCGAGACTCTAAGAATCAGTGGCTGGAGGTAATAGGTGACATGGCTCAAAATCGTTGTCAATGTCGCAGATATGTTCAGTCTCTGTAATTTTTCATATTCCTTTCTACAATTACCCATTCTGTTTCACTCTTATACTTGTCAAACTGTATTGATTCTCTTCACTCATCTTCTTGTCTACCTTTGTGTGGTATTTGGAAGGTGGCAACTCGAACTTCTGCACTTCGGTGCCAAGTTCTATGATGGATCCAGACAGACAGACAAATCCAGTGAACGCTTAATAGCGGTAAGTGTTATGCAAAGCAGTAATGAAAAAGCTTTACGGATAATGAAGACATTTTTCTTCTGCGAGGATGATATGCAAATAATCATGAAACGTTCCAAAATTTATGACTAATTACATGCGATCCAACCGATAGACGGATGTCAAGCTCGGATATTGCAACAATGCAACGAGATACATCAACTAGAAGGAATGTTCCTGTACGTACTACCCAAGCAGAAACGTCGTTCGGACAGGTCAAAGTCGTATCACTAGTGAATATAGTTATAACAGTAGCAGGACGAATGTTTCATTAGGACAACCAGAAAGCCATGTGTGCTGCCATGCTTTACAGTTGTGCTTCTCTGCAGTTGCAAATACATGAACTATTCCGAAATGACAGCATAGGACCACCATGCCACCGACAAATATACATCTCATCCAACAGTTGGACGATAATGCTGCATGTCAAGTAATCCACAAAGGGAAACTTACGGAATCCTTGGAAGTGAAGACAGGAGTAAGACAAGCTGGCTGGCTACCTACTATCTCCAGTGATTTTCCTGATTGTGCTAGATTGGATAATGCGACAGACAGACAGTGGTCAGCCAGGAAACAGGCATAAAATGGGCCCACACAAAAAACTTCGAGGATCTGGACTTCGCCAATGATATAAGTCTGATTTGCCACAAACTGGAAGATATCTAAAGGAAAAGCAAAAGTTGCCAGAAGAAGTATCCAAATAAGATAGGACTTCAGGTGAACATAGAGGAAAAAGACGTAGGTTGTGAGGATTCCTGGGAAACACCAACAGCAACAACAGACAACATCCGGCATAAATGGGAGGAACCTGAAGGAAACAGTCCACAGTGCGCACAGATGCAAGTGACTACCTACCAACCTACCTACCTACCTACCTACCTACCTACCTACCTACCTACCTACCTACCTACCTACCTACCTACCTACCTACCTACCTACCTACCTACCTACCTACCTACCTACCTACCTACCTACCTACCTACCTACCTACCTACCTACCTACCTACCTACCTACCTACCTACCTACCTACCTACCTACCTACCTACCTACCTACCTACCTACCTACCTACCTACCTACCTACCTACCTACCTACCTACCTACCTACCTACCTACCTACCTACCTACCTACCTACCTACCTACCTACCTACCTACCTACCTACCTACCTACCTACCTACCTACCTACCTACCTACCTACCTACCTACCTACCTACCTACCTACCTACCTACCTACCTACCTACCTACCTACCTACCTACCTACCTACCTACCTACCTACCTACCTACCTACCTACCTACCTACCTACCTACCTACCTACCTACCTACCTACCTACCTACCTACCCACCTACCTGCCTGGGTACCATTTTTTCAACTACAGGCGGATGGTTGTGACGAGGACATCCATGCGTGGAACGTCGTGAAAGCAAGACAAACATTCATCTATCTCAAGTCTTTATGGAAATCAATAGCACTGCTCAGCATGAAAATGAAAATTAGATCCGTATTTTAAACTCTACTGGGAAGTCAGTCAGTGCTTATATACGGATCAGAGATTTTCACTGCGCGTAATAAAGAGCACTTCAAACAGACTACAGACCCTCATCAACAGCTGTCTTCGCTCAATATTACTCAAGGTCAGATAGCCGGCCAGAAAAGATCAGCAATAGGGAGAGATCTCTGGGAGCTAACCAACCAAGAACCGATTGTGCAGTAAATAGGCAGGAACAAATGGAGGTGGATTGGCTGGCCATACTCTGAGGAAGCCATCAAGTGACATCACTAGACAAGCCATCGCACGAGTGGAACGCGAAAGGGAAGGGGGTGGCGAGTTGGTCGTCAGTGTGTGTGGATGACATGGAGGAGGTCATGTGAAGGGGAGATGAAAGCATGTGGTCAGACTTGGAGCGGGGTGAAAAAGTTGGCAGAGAACCGAACGCAATGGAGACGCGCGGGTTAAGGCTTATGTTCCTCTAGGAATTAAAGGGAATAACAATAATAATAATTCTATTACAAAATTATCTAAATATTTACCGACACAACATCTCGCTTGATATATGAAATTTATCTTTCCATTTTTTTCAGATAATAGAGAAGTTCGAAGATAACTTACATGATGAAAGAGTTCGTATAAGCGAAATGCTGAAGAACAGATTTTCACCTGAATATGCTGAGGTCCATATCACCCATTTTATGCGACCCCTTCACTATTGTATGGGACCATCAGGAAAACTTGTGCCTTCAGCTAGTGAATGCGGTAAGCTGAAAATCAGTTCTTCTTAATATTTTCTATAACTAAGAGAATATGTCTGATGTCAAAGCTGATTCTGTCCAGTTTTCTCAGTTCGTTGATTAATATGCAGTAACATTAGTGCCAGTGTGATCACATAGATCCATCCATCTAGTTTTAGCATCACACAGTGTAAAAGCATCACTTATGACGGCATGAAAGCATATCATAATATAACAGTAGAAAACGATCAATTCGGGTTTCCTCGCTTAGGTCTACTGCCGTCCACAGAAACTGTAGCGGATTGTGGTCAGTTTCTATGTGGAACCGTTGGCTGGGTGAATACGGTCTCCATTTGTCTACCGCCCATACTATCGCTAAACATTGTTGTTCTATCGTTGATTATATCTGTTTGTGTGTGTGTGTGTGTCTTAAAACACAATTGGCGTATTCGACAACTTCATCACTCTGTCTAAGTACTGCGTATATGCCGTAGTCACTTGCATCTGTGCGCACTGTAAACTGTTTCCTTCAGGTTCCTCCCATTTATGCTGGATGTTTTCTGTTGTTGCTGTTGGTGTTTCCCAGGAATCCTCACAACCTACGTCTTTTTCGTCTATGTTCACCTGAATTCCTATCTCCTTTGGATACTTCTTCTGGCAACTTTTGTTTTTCCTTTAGATATCTTCCAGTTTGTGGCAAATCAGACATATATCATTGGCGAAGTTCAGATCCTCGAAGTTTTTTGTGTGGGCCCATTTTATGCCTGTTTCCTGGCTGACCACTGTCTGTCTTTCGCATTATTCAATCTAGCGCAATCAGGAAAATCACTGGAGATAGTAGGTAGCCAGCCAGCTTGTCTTACTCCTGTCTTCACTTCCAAGGATTCCGTAAGTTTCCCTTTGTGAATTACTTGACATGCAGCATTATCGTCCAACTGTTGGATGAGATGTACAATTTTCGGTGGCACCCGTAGTAGCAAAATAGTTTCCAAAGCACCTCTCGATCGACGTTTCGCTGTCGAAGGCCTTTTTTGAAAGTCGATGAAGTTTTTCTGAAACATAATAATCTATCTACAGTTAATTCAAATATGCTTCAACATCTAGATACTTACATTTGTTCTCATTTTTGGTCATCTCATTTACTGAAAGGGTTCCTTGAAATTATGAATGACGTAACTTCGTCGGGAAAATCCATTTCCTGAATCTTGTTAAGCTACAGTATTTTGCAACTTCGACTGTCTGGTCAGGTTCACTTTGTTTGTAATCAAAATTTCCACTTGAAATATTTAGCTCTTTCCAGTTTCTTTGTCTACGATGCAGGCAGCGTTTCACATCTACAACACGAGCTACATAACATATATTCATCTCGAAGAGCAATAGTTCATCGTGCATCACTAAGCAGCTGTGAGAATGCGTCACAAAAGTAAGAAGCTATGAGTGCTGTACTGAAACCGCTTGGATTACCTGTGTAGTACTGCAGAGTCTGTATTTTTTTTTAGTTAGAAAATGAAGTTGTGTCCTGTGGGATTTAGAATTTTTACTTGGAAAGATGGGCGGAATAATATGCCAATCAAATTCAAGTCATCAGTTTATGTTACACTTTACTGGGTGGAAAGACAAACAAGTGTGATGAATTTAAGAAGAGTCACAGAGTCACTGCTATGTAATTCATGTTTTGAGGTAGAGCCCAAGCCACTTATCTAGAATTATTGGAATATCATGTGCGAAGGATAGGGGAACTTGGCTAGAGATAAGATTAAAAGGACGAAAATGGTTCAGATTCATATGGCTATCTATTTTTGGAGGAGAACATCATCTCATCACTCACTGTGCGCCGATTTCCTCTCTGTTCAGTAGAACAGTTTTACAGTCCCTCCGCTTCTTCCTTCTTACCTCCTTCTTCATGGTAGCTTCATTTTCGCTCTGTATCGTTAACTAAGCACAAAGAAATACGACTTTATTTATCATATTTTAATGAATCAGAGTTTAATTTTCTAGAAAGTATTTCGTTTGTAAATACACTGTCACTAATCAATTTGCTGGTGTTTTACTCCTGTATTATAAAACAGATTTATGTCAGCCTGGTTCATATTATCCAAGTCGCATCATTAATCCGTCTCCACCTGTAACCGACAGCGAATTCCGTCCATTTATGAATGATCAACCTGTAATAGCAGATAAACATGCCAGATCTGTATTTTATCCACACTGGATTACAGACGATGATCCAACCAATTGTCTTCCTTGTCCAGAAAATACATACTCAGAGGAATACGGTCAGTCTGGATGTCTACCGTGCCCCTTTCAACACAGTATACCTACAGATCCAAGAAGTGATATCCAACCTGTTGGTGGCAGTGACTGGTTACACATAGCTTGTCCAAAAGAAGGACGCTCTGAAATACGTATGATTCAAGTTATACAGGGCATGTTGGGCAGAGAAGCAGGCAATTATGTAAAACAAGCCTCAGTGCTGAAACGTGTTGGAATTATATTTTGCATACTTTGTCTTCCGGGTGTTATTGCCGTACTCCTGGTATTTATTGCCTATGTATTAATTGATGTCGGGTCAACACTGATACAAATGGCTAACAGTCTACATCCATTACAAATACAAATAGCAGAGACAAGCACAGCGAATACACGCTTCGATGCAGACCAACGAAAGGCAGCTGAAGAGGTGTACAAACGCATGAAAAGCGATTGAATAGTTTTCAGTTCAGTGGGTTATTTGTACAAAGAGTAATTATAAATTTGTGTTGGAATTATTATTCACCTGTTTTGGAAGTTGTCCCCCCTCCTCTCCCCACAAAAAAAAATAAACAAGTGAGCAAGTGATATGAATTAGTAGGGCTGCAGGAAGAAAGTATAATCCAAATAAACTCGTACTGTAGTTTGCGAATCAGAAGATTTGTACCAAACATTCAGTTGCTGTTTAAAAACCGTCCGCGAAATGTGAAACTTACAGTCACTTCTTGTTTTACTCAAAAATTACTAAGTGGTAAGAGACGAAGATACCTCGCGACCTTATTATAGAAGCAGTAATTCTAACCAGTGGTCAAATTGCCATACTTAATATACTGATACGAAATTCTGCGTATAATTGAGAATGACAATAATCAATTATTACATAGTTCTGTCTTAATGGCTGACGAAGTTTTACTGTTTGAGAAGCTTAATTCAAGCATGAAAGGATACAATACTTTTAGATGCAATATTCACTATAGAATAATTGTTGGAAGATAGCGGAAAGTCACAGATATTAGGTTTGTTTGTAAATCTATCATATATTCTTGTATTTCTGAGTTTTATGCAAGTTAGCTAACTGCTGTACCTGAATGTAATGTGGCTTGATATCAATTAACACATTGTGAGAATGCTTCTGTGTGAAGGCGATTTAGCAGTAGGACACTCATCAACCATGCTACACGTGGTCCGGGACTCGATCCTCATCCAGCACGCTCCAAAAAATCTCTCTAGGCCATTAAACATGGGAGGTTGGGCGTGGGGCTAACAACCCCACCTCGTAAAAATAAAACCACTGCTGCTGAATATTCAAAGATCTAGCTTGAAGCTTTATGTTCCACTCGGACATTAAAGAATTAAAAAGATAATGCTTCAAATTTGGTCGCAGGTAAGGAGGTTCACCGTCATACAAGATGGCCAGAAAATTTCATTGTGTACAAAGGGTATGATTATCCTTCGAAGAACCCTTTTCATGATCCCTTTATTGGAGTTAATTTTCCAACTAATAAGCTATAACGAAAGGAAGACAGAATCTCACGAATTATTATTCTTATTTCCTTTAATTCCTAGAGTAACATAGAGCTTCAGCTGCACGTCTCCATTGTTTTCAGTTTTCTGCCAACTTTTTCACCCCGCTCCAAGTCTGACCACATGCTTTCATCTCCCCTTCACATGACCTCCTCCATGTCATCCACACACACTGACGACCAACTCGCCGCCCCCTTCCCTTTCGCGTTCCACTCGTGCGATGGCTTGTCTAGTGATGTCACTTGATGGCTTCCTCAGAGTATGGCCAGCCAATCCACCTCCATTTGTTCCTGCCTATTTGTTGCACAATCGGTTCTTGGTTGGTTAGCTCCCTGAGATCTCTCCCTATTGCTGATATTTTCTGGCCGGCCATCTGACCTTGAGTAGTATTGAGCGAAGACAGCTGTTGCCGGAGGTTCTGTAGTCTATTTGAAGTGCTCTTTATGACGCACCAAGTCGCTGATCTGTACATTGGAGTTTAAAATCCGGACCTAACTTTCATTTTTATGCTAAGTCCTGTTGACCTCCACGCAGACTTAAGCGTAATGAAAGCTGATTTGATATCCTCGTCAGTTCCATCCGCCTGTAGTTGAAACGTGGCTTCCCAGGTAGGTGGGTAAAGGAGGTTGTTTCTTTCAGGTTCCTCCCATTTATGCTGGCTGACTGTTATCTGTTTATGTTGCTGTTGTTGGTGTTGTCCAGGAATCTTTATCACCCCTGTTTTCTCTATGCTCACCTTAAGCCCTATCTTCTTTGGATATTTCTTCTGCCAACTTGTTGCTCTTCACTTGCATATCTTCCAGTTTGTGGGAAATCAGACATTTATCATCGGCGAAGTCCAGATCCTTCAAAATTTTTGTGTGGGTCCATTTTATGCCTGTCTCCTCGCTGAACGCTCTCTATCTGTAGCATTGTCCAATCTACTGAAATGAGGAAGATCACTGGCGATAGTAGACAGCCTTGTCTCACTCCCGTCCTCACTTCGAAGGCTTCCGTAAGTTTCCCGTTGTGGATTACCTGGCATGCAGCACTGTCATACAACTGTTGGATGAGATGTACAATTGTCGATGGGATCCCGTAGTAGCGAATTAGTTTCTAAATCACCTCTCGATCGACGCTGAGAGGTCGAAGGCCTTCTCAAAACCGATGAAGTTGAGATAGAGAGGTGACTACCATTCCAAGCTGTGTTCAATGATGATCCGTAGAGTGGCGATTTGATCAATACATGACTTATTTCTCTTGAATCCAGTTTGTTCTGGTCGAAGTTTTTCATCCAGGTTGGCGTGTTTGATTCTCTCCAGGATGATGCGGCCTAGTATTTTGCTTGGAATGGACAGAAGCATAATTTCACGCCAGTTTTTATATTGACTTAAGTCTCTTTCTTTGGTAGTTTGAATAGGTATCCTTTCTTCCAATCCTCGGGTACCTTGCCCTCTTTCCACACCTTCTACAGTAATGGCGTCATCAAGTCCACTGTCGTCTCTGGGTCCACTTTCAATGCTTCTGCTGGGATTCCATCTGGTTCTGCTGCTTTCCCAGCTTTTAGCATCCTGATTGCATTCAGGACTTCTGATTTCGTCGGAGGTTCGATGTTCACTGGTAGTTCTGCTTCCGTTGTTGGTATTGTTGGGCGCGTTGTAGGTGGCGGTCGATTTAGAAGTCTTTTGAAGTGTTCAGCCCAGTGTTTTCTTTCCTCCACCTCATTGGTGATTGACTTTCCATTGTCATCCTTTACTGGCTTAATCTGTGTCGAACTTTTGCCCGATAGGTTCCTAGTTGTTAAGCTGAGTGTGGCGAAGTTTCCTTTGCCTGCAGCTTGTTCTGCTTCACTTGCCATGGCTTCATCATATTTTCTTTTGTGTTCCCTGGCACTCTTCTTTACTCTTTTGTTCAGTGTATTGTAGCTTGCATTCAACTCCTATTTTTGTTGCTCGTTGGTGTATTGAATAACCTTTTGTTTCATTGTCCTTCTCTCTTATATTAGTTTCCAAGTGTCCGTAGTGAGCCACTGTTTGTCCTGCCTCTTCATTCTGCCTAGAACTTCCATGCAGGTTTGACTCCACACCGTTTTCAAGTTGTCCCGGTGCTTTTCGACGCCGACCTCTTCGCTAGTGTTGATTTGTGTCTCAGCTTTGTCCTTGATGCTTGCAATGAAGATGTCCTTTGTATCATGGTCCTTCAGTTTTTAGTGTTGAACTTGGCTTGTGGTCTATCTGCAGCTCCTATTTCCCTGAAAGCTTTTAATTTGATATGGATTGTACTTTGTACGAGATAGTGGTCTTAGCCAACGTCTGCTCCTCTTCTTACTTTTGTGTCCAGTAGGCTGCGTCTCAACTTACTTGAACACCATAAGGATGAAGTCAATTTGGTTTTTGGTTTTCCCATCTAGTGACATCAAACCTCATCAAAGCCAAAGAAAAATCTATGCTACTTTAGATCAATTATTTCCGCATTGTTGGTCAAACCTGGCTGATTTCAAGTACTTTTGAAGGTAAACCACAAAAATCAACTTTGGCGTATATATTTTTGTGTCTGAACCAATATACTACTTACTTATAAGTGTTGCACTGATAAGCAGTTTAATGAATTCTACACAACAACAAAATCCTAGCGATACATCACTTGCAAAAAATATAGTAATGCATGCAAAAGTCAGCAAACTTTTGACATCCACATAGTAAAATCACCAACAAATAAGTATGTCCTGAGTCCATTTTATGTAACATTGTCAAATTGTAATTTTGATTTAAGGTATACGAAAAATAGACACCCACAGACTGGGTTGCTAGCACAATTCGTAGTAGGTGAACCGTCAGTTCATTGAAAAAATGACTGGTTGGAATGTCTTCCAATGAAGTGAAGACATTTCACCCAGTCATTATATTTTTGCATGGGACAGTCGGCTACAAATATTGGCTGACGTCCCAAAATCTACAAAACAGTCAGTCAATCTGTCAGTCAGCCAGTAAGCCAGCCATCAGTGATAATATTATTTGCAATGTCTAGCTGGTCGTATTCCGCCCGGAGCTATATCCTCCTACACACTGATATCACAATATCATCGGCGAGTAGACACCTTCCTTTTCTCAGACAGGTCACATAGATGAATGACAAGACTGTCAGGAACAGTTCAACTAGTCTCAACTCCTATCCCCACTCCGATTGGCAGCTAGCCAGCCAGCCAGACAGCTAACTAGCTACCTAACTAGCTGGCTAGCTAGCAGCTTAGTTGGCTAACTACTCAAACCAACCAATCAACCAACCAACAATACAGTAGAACAAATTTACAACTCACGATAAACCTATGTGTGTGTGTCTGTGTGTGTCTGTAAATATTTCTCTTGAAAAATTCAAAAGTTACACTATACTTACTTTACTCATTTGAAGTATTCACATACAGTCGAGTATAGATTCCCTTCCCAGGACAACCAGCACAAAATCAACCTACACCAACAAGGAGTCAATGAAGTAGGCGAGCGGCCACAAATTCTTCCTCTGTATAACTACACCATTCAAACCGATAGCGCAATCAACAAATTCTGGCATCGGCGACTCATACTGAGAGAAATCACCTTCTACCTGAATATTATTCATTGCTTAGAAATTGAAACAACTAATGTTGCATATATAAATATATATATATATATATATATAAATGAATAGCTATGAGTATATATATTGAAAAAATCTTGCTTCATTATGAGCACCATAAAATCCTGCCGCCTAGTTTGTACGTGGGTTGGGATACTTACTACCTGAAAGCATGCTGTTGCTGGACGTCTGTAGTAGCCTGTTAGAAATGACTCCGTTATATTCAGTCCCACAGGATAGAATCTCATTTATCCTAAGGGATGTATGCTACTTTAGATCAATTATTTCCGCATTGTTAGTTAAACCTGACTGATTTCAAGTACTTTTGAATGTAAACCACAAAAATCAACTTTGGCGTA